CTTTAAAAACTCAAATAATTTAATAACTATTAAAAGTAATCTTTAGCAAATCTCTAAACAAGCTTGTATTGATTTAAAAAGCATTTGTATTGGTTAAAAAACTGTATTTTTTTTTAAGTCATCCAATAAAACCCTAAAAAAAACATCTATAGGTGGCAAAGATTAAAAGTAGCCTAATTCTTGGCAAATCTTGGACCCCAAAAGGATACATTTTTGTGCTGCTTTGGGTGGATGAGGGCGTTTTGTATGTATTTTATATTTGCGCTTTCATTTTGACTCATCCAATGAAAATTCAGTTAGCCCACAACCCATGAGACAGGAGTGTTTGAGTGTGTGCTTATGTGTGGGTGTAAACAAGTGACAGAGAGATTGTGGAGACCGCGGTGCAGCGGTTATGGATTATTGAATTAGTGTAGACAGTGTATCAATAGTCTTATTTTTATTTCCTCCAGCTTTCTCTTAGCTCTTCATTTCAACTGTCTCTTTATTCTCTCTCGCTCTCTCTCACTCTGTTCCCTAGAGAGAGAAGATTCTGCCTGCTGCTCGTTAGCGGTCTCAGCCAATCTGCATTTTTAATTAGCGGTTATTGCTTCTGCTTAATATGCAATTGCTACCCTGGGCCAAATGGGAATCCTTACAAAAAGAGTGAGGGGAAGAATGAAAGAGAGAGAGAGAGGCTGGGTATTGTGTTTCACTTCAAGACCCTGAGACAAAAGCCCCCCTCCACCCTCCTTGCACTCTCCACCCGAGGGAGAGATTTGGAAGCAGAAGGGGTGTTGTTTGGAGGGGGCGAAGGTGCAGTCACAGGGGTGATGATTTTTCTGTTGTTTTTCATGACCTGTGCAGCTATTTCTTTTTGTTCTTAAATTGAACACTTTTCTTCTTCCTTTCCCTTTTCATCCCTGTTTTAACCTCCAAGGCTCAGAGATCGGCTTCTTGCTTTTTGACTCGAGTTCTTCTCCATGCACAGAGTACAAGAGAAGAGAATAGGAGAGGCTCTTTTTAATCTTCTTCTTTGCTCCCTCCCAATAAAATGCAGAAGGATTTTGACTGCAGGAGAAGTAAACGAGGCTTATAGCACTCTGCTTTGAACCCTTTGTAAGAGAATGGAAAAAATTAAATGAATTTTCCTCACAGTTTTGGGATCCTCTTTGCAGACAGGCCCCATTTATAAAGGAGGCTGAGTCAGGACTCATTTGCATAAAACCTTTGTTTGCCCGTTCCGCTAATTAGCAATTTGCAGCTTAATTGGCGAGCGGATCTCTGAAATAGAGACAAAGCTAACCACGTTTAAAAATACCACCAGAGCTGCTAAAGGAGCCCATCCGTGCTCATTTGCTTCTGTCTCAATCTTTCGCTCCGCAGTCATTCGGTTCTCCTGTGAGCACACCCTTAATCATGCAAGGCTTTCTGCTTAGGTCTGACTCAACAGCGGCGCTATTACAAACCTGCAGGGGTTTGTGACATGCAGCTTTTCTAAAAAAACGTGTTCTTGTAGTAGGTCAGGATGATGATTTTTTTTGTCACTGGTAGACTGTAGCATACTAGTAGGACTATTTAGCAGGATGCAGGTGTAGATGATTAACATGAAAACATGTCCAGGTCGCATTTCATTCGAAAATATTTGTATGATATTAACGTTTTCCTCAAGTTCTCATTACCGTAAAGTTTAGACCGTTCTTTTTTTTCGTCCATGATGTATAAATACTTTACAATTTAAATAATACATATGATATATGAACCCACTTCCTTTTCTTTTTTTTCATTGGTTTTTGGGCTATTCTGGCAATGACAATTTGAAATGACAAATGAAAATCATGAAAATGTCACAATATAAAAAATCTTAATGGTCTGAAAAATAGGCTACATTTTCAGAACAGAACAAAAAATGTAAGTTCTACTTTCTGGTAACTCTACTACTTTTGGCAAAATCAATGTACTGTATGCAGCAGGAAGTCATATTCACCATGATTTCTCTTTCTTGAATACTTTATTGGACTGGTGAAAATCGACACTTATACTCAAAATTTGATTTAAAACTCCTATATAAATTAAATCATATGATTTCACTGAATTGAGCATGCATTGTATTGAGGTCATGTGACAACAGTATGCTGAATGCAACCATAAATATTTCAAACAGCTACGGTTTAATTTTGTTTTTAGTATTGGGTATTATACATTGTGACCTGTGCAATATGCTGTAAGAAGCATGTTAGTATTCTTTTCTAAACATAACCTTGGACTGTACCTACCCTGTTTTCACACGTATTTGTGGTTTTACCTGTTTTGTTCCACTTTCTGTAAATGATCAAGTTCGCCTGCAGACTTTTCTTTCTGATGTTTCATTTTCATGTCGTCATGATGATAGACATCTTTCCGGTCCACTTAGCATATTTTGTCAGAAATATACAGGGTGATATTGCATGAGAAAGGCTTTGTTTGTTTTCATTTGACCCACATTGAATCTCCTGAATGTACTGCCATTTATAAAATGCCATCTGTTTATGTGTTCTAAGTAATTTTAGCATGTAAATGTAGCTTTTAGGTTGTTTGAGTAATAAATTCATTTTCTCTCTCTCTTCCTCTCCAAAACAGAAGAGCCCTCCATTTTCACCTGCCAGGTGTGTCAATGTGTGTTCTCCAGTGCATGGACTCTCCTCCAGCATGCTCAGAATGCACATTCTCTCAACATTTACCAGGTGGAGGATGACACCATCACACAGACGTCAAAACCGGCAGCCACAATGGATCCACGTCACCTGGGTGCTACACTGGCCTCTGCGTTCCAGCCGTCATCTCGACGATCTACCCCCCTTCACAAGCCTCCCCACGGCTCCAGCCATACACCACGTGACCTGCAGGGCCTGAACTTCTCCATGTGTTTGCAGCACCTGGCGGAGGTTAGCTGCAACAATGGCGGAGTAGTACCTTCCCCGTCCCCGTCTCCACCGGCCGCTTCACCTTTTCCCCACTGTACTCCGCCACTTCACTCAGCCTTCTCCTGCGAGCTTTGCGGCCAGGGTTTTCAGTCTCTGCGCAGCCTGTCCGCCCACCGCCGCACACACGCCTGCGATAGGCCCTACCACTGTGGCGTGTGCCAGCTCACGTTCTCCCAAAGTGGCGAACTGGCACGACACATGAGGAGTCACCGCCGCCCTGCTGCTGGACAGGAAACTGATCCCAACTCTGCCAGTGCAGATGAGGACAGAAAACTTTCTGGACAAGGAGATAATGATATTTCCAGTGGTCATGGAACAAGTACGGAGGCTGGGAAGCCTTCAGGAGGTACTATCCTGATCCTGACATCTTCGCAGTCTAGGGCTGTGGATCGCAATCTGCTGCGCTACTATCAGCCTCCGAGAGAAGCAGATGAGGAGGGTCAAGGTGAACCACAGCAGCCATCTCCCTATGGAAGCCCCTCAGAGGGCTCTCTGGAGAGCGGAGATACAGGTGGAAGCGGCGAGAGTGGGATAGCCAGCGGCAACTGCACACCAAAGCGTCCAGAACGGGAGGATCGTCCTCAAGGCGAATGGGACGGAGAGGTGGAGGCTGTGGAGATGGTCCAGGACTGGCAGAGGGTGAATGAAAGGAGGCAGGTCACCAGCGGAGGGGGCAAGAAGAAAAAAGAAGAGGCTTGCGAGTTCTGTGGAAAGTGTTTCCGCAACAGCAGCAACCTGACGGTCCACCGACGCAGCCACACGGGCGAAAGACCGTACCGCTGCGGCCTCTGTAGCTACGCCTGCGCGCAAAGCAGCAAACTCACGCGCCACATGAAAACACATGGCGCCCGTGGGACACGTGCCCCTTTTCAGTGCCACCTATGCTCTGTCCCGTTCACCGTCTATGCCACACTGGAGAAACACCTCAAGAAGGTCCATGGACTCACTCACGCCAATGGCGGCGCCTACAGTCAGGGCCCGCTTGCTGATTACAACGGCTTCAGCATCACAATGAAGGACGACTCTGTTCGTGAACAATCAGGAGCTCCCATCACAATGCTTACAGAATCAAATGTGGACCTATCAGAGCAGCACAAAGAGAAAGACACTGAGATGAGGGTCACTGATGATGAGCCACCTACCTCTGAGGAAACAGACAGCACTGTGGTGTTGGGTCAAACCACAGTATAAACATAGTATATGACTTCTACACATGACACTCTGATCATGACCAAAACCACCAAGCTTGATGATCTTCTGCCCGCAACCCAGTATGCGCATCTTATCATAAAACCAAGAGGACCTTTCTCAATTTCACCACAGTGCTTAGAAAGGCTGTAGGGTGCAACGCTGATACTGTTCGAGATTTGATAGATTTTCATATCAGTACAAGTGCCTACTGTTAAATCCTTACATGCAATATTGGAAGACTTCTGAACTCTTTAACCCAACCGTCAATGTCAAGGCACTTCAAACCCAGAATTGCGACTGGTAGAGCACTGTCAGAGTATATGGAGATGGTCGCAAGTCACCTTTTTTTGAGCCCAAAAGACAATCGCACAGGAAGACTGAGCAACCTGCAGGTGATCTGCCAATGTGATTATGAAGTGGACACCTTCGGATTACACTGTTGTGGCACTCTTCTGCAGAGCCTTAAAGGTTCATGGCTTATAAAAATCTAAATTGGGAATGGTCTACATCAGGGGTGTACAGTCCTGCTGCTGGAGGGCCAGCGTCCTGCAGAGTTCAGCTCCAATCAATCAATCAATCAAACACACACACCTGAAACAGCTAATCAAAGTCTTCAGGACCTTTACCAAAAACTTTCAGGCAGTTTTGTTTGAGTAGGTCGAGCTAAACTACAAGAAATTGACCCTCCAGGAGCAGGATTGTACACCCCTGGTTAGGTTAATAGTATGACCTGCACAAATGACAGTAATCAGATTTGAGCTTGTGTTTTCCAAACTATCTGACAGGGTTGTTTCCTTTTTTGATACTGTATATTAAACAGGACTGATTGGGTCTGTGGCAATACATGTTCACTGTCACTTATTACTGTTAAAGAGAATATGTTTGCCATTTAGAATGTCAATGTGTAAATATATATTTTAGTTTGTGCTGACATTTTGTAACATTCCAGGAAAATGTATCACATATTTGTTTATATAGCCACTCTACTGCACAACAGATTAATTTTCCTTGTATTTTGTGAGCCTGTTTAGTGTGAGACTATATTGTTTTACTGCCGAGCATATAGAAATGCTATGAAAAGTTTTTTGGTTTGTTTTTTTTGGACAGTGGTTTCTTCAAGTTGTGTTTTGTGGTTGTGTGAATGAAAAGCCTCATTTCTGATGAAAGACTTGGTAGGAAACGACAGTGCTGACCCTGTTGAATGGTGGACCCTTTGAGAGAGCACTTCTGTATGTGTGAGAAAGACATAAGAGACCAGATATATGATAAATCTATACAGGGAATGTTTGCTTTGTTACAGTTTATTATGATTATCAATGTCAGGGAACTGTTATGTTACAGTTTATGTTTGTGTGGTAACAAATATTGTACAGTAAATCAAATATAATAAGCAATTTTTTTGTATTAACAAATGTGAAAATAGTTGGACATCTAGTTGTGTCCGTTTCTTCAGGGAGCAGTGAAAACAAAGCTCTTTTTGTCCTCTGTATATTGGTATAATAATTTCTGTTGATTGAAATGTCATGTCTTATGTGGTTTCTTCCAGAATTCCCTGTGTAGCCCACAACTTTGCTGTGTATTTTGTATTTCTATGCCTATTTGTATGATAATTAAAAGACAGAGGCAAAGTCAGACGGTGTGTGTGTGTATGTGAGAACCAGAAAGTGTGACTGCACGAACGGTGAAGTCGAACCTGCCACTACATGTCTCAGATCGCATCACGAACTCACCAGTATTTGCACAGACGAACCACTCTTCTCTAACGGCTATTGTTGAGTCATAGTCCGTTAGTAGTACAGTCATATCTGACTAAACCGCTCGGTCATTCAGGTTGGCCTTCAAAGAATAGGGTTTGATGGAATAGATGAGATTGTCAGGTACATTACGTGTCCAAAAAGTGAGATCATACATCTGGAGAGATGGAGAAGACAAAGCCTGGAAAGGAGTGCTGCGATTGAAATGGGCGGGAGTCTGAGGATGTTGAGAAACCCGAGGGGGAGCGGAGTCATCTTAACAGCTTTCTCCTTTTGTAGTGGGACAAAACCTTCACGCCGGTATCTCTGGCCCCTCTAATGAGTGGGACGCTCTATGATCCCTATAGCTCATTAACAATCAACCTTTTTAATGAGCTTTCAGCCTGGGCTGGGGGAGGTTGGATTGAAGGGACCATATGTAGCTCTCACCCCATCTCCAATTATCGCCATTTCGGAGAAAAGGAGAAAGATAGCGAAGCATAAGGGAGGGGTCTGAAACGTCATTTACAACTCTGGTAGTTCAGCAAAAATTCCCGATACTCTGAATCTCAGGTGATCGCCCTGGGACCTGCATCGCTTCTCCTCTATCAAAACCTTATACACGCACCATTTGGTGGCCGCACGGGCCCAATTACATAACGTAACACGAGCTTCTGCGAGTTAAGATGGCCTCTGGCAGACGAAAACATTCCCAGGTGCCCTTTGTCTCTTTTGGGCCGCCTCTCTGCACCTTCTGAGCTGGGACTGGCCCGTGTTTATCTTTACTGACCAATCACGATGATGCGTTCCTATCAGCGCATGGTGACGGGGAACTGACCGCGCAAAACCTGTAGGTGAGCATGGACTTTGAGATGTGTTTTGAGTTTGAGCACAAACCACAATAAATGCCCCACTTATGTAGCACTGCTACCTTGGTGAAAAGGGAAAGTTTGTGGTTTTAGGGTCTCAAGAAATCATCTAAACCTGCACGCCTTCTCAGGGTGGGAAATGTCTAAATGCATTTAACTGTAACCGTGTTCATTATGAATGTGTCTATATGAATGTATTTACAACGCTCTCAAGATGTTCAATGTCTTTACAATGCTCTCGAGAAATTGACAGAAACCTCTAAATCAGGCCAAGGACCCTTTTGAATAGGGGTCCTGTTATATTGTGAAAAAAAAAAGTCTGCCTAATAACATGCATATAGTACCATATGTGTTTACATATTGTGTTGATTGATTGCATATGCATTAAAAATAATATTTTAGTACATTAATATAGATATTGATTTATCACCTGCATTGATTAAAGGTACATTTAATTTAATTTCTAATGTAATTTTTATTATTATTTCTAAATGTTTTTTACATTTGTGTTATGAGGATTACATATGTATAGAAATAATATTTTATAGCCATAATGATTTATCAGCTGTATTGATTATGGTAAGAGTACATTTATTTTATTTCTAATTTAATTCTTCATATTTTTATTATTTACAAATGTTTTACATTTGAGTTATGGTGCTTAAACAGCATATACATTAAAATCATATTTTTATCTAAAAACTGGATATTTTATCCATACTAAATTAACAGCTGTATTGTTTAGGGTAAGTGTACATTCATTCATTCATTCATTTGTAATTTTTATGTGTATTAAGTATTGCGTTATGATAATTAAACTGCATATGCATAAAACATATTTTCAGTGTATATTGATTTATCACCTGTATTAGAGTAAGGGTACATAAATGTTTTTAATTTAATTCCTTATTTAATTTTTCATATTTTTATTTATGAAATTTTTAATTTAAAAATACAATTTAGGAGAAACAACATTTAGCTAAACCTTTAAACCTTTACTTTGTTTTTTAATATATATAGATCAAACAATAATTTGCAGGCCCCCTGCAGTAATGTTGCATATTCCATAGAGGTCATGGACCCCTGCTCTAACTGCTGCTGTTTCCAAAGTGCCTGCAATCACTTTTCTTCATGGCAAGATCAAAAGATGCAAAACCAGTTCTCATGAAACATGATGTGAATAGTAAGATGGTTGGTGATTGTCAGGCTGGTACATCTACAGATAGTTGATCATATCAGACGCACATCTGTAGACAATTAAATAGCTGCATATCATTGCATTATTAGGTGGGTTGTGCATGTACAGCCCTTTATGTGTATTAATAATGGAGATCTTTGCACTGTAGGCCAAGCTTAATAGAGACAGTACATATGAACTTATGGTATACTATTAATTATTATTATTAATTATTTTAAAAGCTAATTAATTACTCAAAATACATTTTATTAAGAAGTGCCATTGCATTCCTCATCTTTCTTCCCACAGGACCATTCTGGTGTGATAGTATCAGTGAGACGGAGGGAAACAAGGGAGGGAATGAGCAAAGGAAGGTTGTGTGAACGAGATAAACCACAGAAAAGCTCTCTAGTGTTTCTTTATCCTCGTTCCCAAACCTGCATCCAATACCATCCTCCTCCTCCTCCTCCTCATGGTAACGTCCCTCCTTTCTTCCGCAAAGACCACAGAGAGAAACCTGAACCCTAAAATAAACCCCCTGCCGCAGTGATGTGTTAGTGGCCTTGCATGGGAGAGGAAGACAACGGTCCACTTGTCAACAAACAGTCTGTGCTGGATGAACAGGTGACAATTCCACAGTGCCATGGAGGGAGAAGCCACAAATATGGGTTTAAACATGACCCATCTCACCACAAAAAAACAAGGTGATAATCCTGTTACAACTGATACTCCATAACGTTCCCAGCGGCTGTGGTGGAAGTGGTTTGGCATTTCATGTTTTCATTTCGATGTGATAATTTCCAACCAAATCCACAATTAATTTTCTACCAAAACGAATTATGCAGCTGTTTTGATAAGTTTGAAGAAAACAGATTTTAAAGGAACAGTTTTCTCAAAAATGAAAATACAGTCATTACTCAACATCATGAACCAGTATGCTATTATATTGTCAGTGGAAAATGTGTACAAATATATTGTTGAAAAGAACATAACAAAAAGAACATAAAAAGTTTAGGATTGGTAACAACACTTGAAAATCAGTGGTGCTTGGCCACCAACAGCAAACAAAGTGCACTCAAATTTTGTAACCTGAACATGAATTGACAAAAAATACAAAAATAAAATATATATATATATATATATATATATATATTACAACACATGAAACTCTGTGGCGTTTTGGCTGCCAAAATCAAACATGGCAAATGCACCATTTTTTGAGTCTGAACTAATTTGTGGGTGAACTATTTCTTTCTTACTTCTTTGAACTAGAAACAGTAATGATCAAATGATAGAATCATAGAGTTTAAAATATTATATATATTTCATACCAGTATACTGTATTTCTGAACAAATAAATGCTGTCTTAGTGGGCATAAGGGACTTTTTTATATATTGTGAAATATAAAATATTATACATTTTTGATACTGTGAAATGCTAGTACATATTAAAGTAACTGTATTATTTTTATATATATATTTTAAAATGTCATTTTTTTTCCTGTGATGCAAAGCTGAATTTTCAGCAGCTATTACTCCAGTCTTCAGTGTCACATAATACTTCATAAATCATTCTAATATGCTGATTTGATGCTCAATAAATATTTTGTATTATTACAAAATATTTACATAGTTCTAACTCCGGCACAAATGTGGCAAAATAAGGTCAAACGAGGTGACAGGAAACCTGTGCAACACCTCTGCCTTCCCACTTACATGTTCACTGTATGTGATAGCACAGCACCTAGTGACCTCTACTCTCACACAATGAGCGAGATACAGGTCAAAACAGCCATCAGACGCTGGAGAGACAGACTGGTTGAACTAGCCTTTACTCCAAAGAAGAGCTTGCGGGTCTCGTTGTCATGTTCCCAGTGCTGTGACCTGCCCTGAGGGATCAACCCATACTTACATGGGTTAACTGACTCATCCTTCGCCCCTCAGAAAATAACACCTTTTCAGTTTCTTGCACAGAATGCAGTGTCTAAGAACATAGACTGGGAAAAGCAGGAAAGTAGAGTAGATGTGCATTATGCATAGAGTGCATTATGTGACTGAATAGCATTTGGACACAAGTTCTTTCTACATATGTTTGTGTTTAAATAGAGAGAGAGAGAGTAGTAGGGAGACACAAATGTAAAGAGTTAGAGATGGTTAAATAGAGTAAATAATGTTAGTATGTGACATATTGAGGCAGGATAGTTAAATAGCATGATACAGAGTAATTGTCTTTCTGTTCTTGACCTCCTGACCTTCTTTCATCCCATTCTAATGCATCCTTGCATTGGGCACCGCAGCAGTGCCTGGGAACCGACTGGTGTTAATTGATGCCTGTGAGCAGATAGGCTCTGGGTTTGAGTTGTGGAAGCAGTAGGGGTCGTGGACGTGCCGGGAGTGTGATAATGTTCTGGGCGGGTCAGCGACCTTTGTCGTTACGACATAATCCTCTCTGAAAGACCGTATGTAGCCTACAGAACATGGGCATCAATAACAGAGTAAATCGTGAGCAATCGTTCACATCCGTCTCATTATGAGCTGTGTTTATTTAGCCCCTGTAAGCTTGTCTGAATGTCTTTAGCA